TCACTGACAGGGGAGAGGTCTGTATGTAAACAATACAGATCTCCCCCCTGTAAGCTCCTGCACATTGCTCTGCATTGCTCTGCATAGCAATTGTCAGTTAAAGTGACGCAAAAAATGGCCTGGTCAGGAAGGGGGGGAAATCCTCTGGAGGGCAAGTGGTTAATCAATAACATTTAAATAGACAATTTCTACTATACTTAATTAGTCTAGAATATTTAGTTTGAAATCTACCTTTTTTGCACAGAACAGTGTTTCCCACTTTTTTTTTACTCATGGCATCCCTTTGAAAGTATGCCAAGCTCTCAGTACCCCCATTCACATTAGAGTTCTCAGCCACCCCCTTCACTTCAGAATCATCAGCCCCTCGCCTCCTTTCACATCAGAGTACATAGTCCCCTCCCTTCACCCCATCAGTTCCCCTACCCCCTTTCACATCAGAGTCATAATTTCCCACCACCCACATCCTCCCTTCACATCAGTTCCCCTGCCCCCTTTTACAAAGTCTTCAGTCCCCTACCCTCCCACATCAGAGCCCCCAGTTTTTCTGCCCATTTTCACATCAGAGTGTTCAGCAACCCCTTCACATCAGAGCCCTTAGTTCCCCAGCTCCCATACACTGTATATCTAAGTCCTAAGCCCCTAGTCCTTCTCCCCCTACATCATCAGAGTCCTTCCCCCCCTCCCTTTACATCAGAGAGCCCCATCAGAGTCCTCAGTTCCCCCCTCCTCCACATCTGAGTCCTCATTCCTTCCCTCGCCCCTTCACATTAGAGTCCTCAGTTCCCCTGCTCCCTTTCACACCAGTGCTCCAGTTTATTCCAAATGTGTTTAGTAGAGTTGAGGTCAGGGTGCTCTGCAGGTCACTAAAGTAGCTCTACACAGAACACTAAAATTCCTCTACACAGAACAATAAAGTTCCTCCACACAGGACACTAGAGTTCCTGTACACAGCACACTAAAGTTCCTCTACAGAGTACACTAAAGTTCCTTTACACAGGACACTAAAGTTCCTCTATGCAGGACACTAACAATCCTCTAAACAGTACAACAAAGTTCCTCTACACAGAACACTAACATTCCTCTACACAGTACACTAAAGTTCCTCTACACAGGACACTAACATTCCTCTATACAGGACACTAAAGTTCCTCTACAAAGAACACTAACATTCCTCTACACAGGACACTAAAGTTCCTCTACAAAGTACACTAAAGTTCCTCTACACAGGACACTAAAGTTCCTCTACACAGGACACTAACATTCCTCTACACAGGACACTAAAGTTCCTCTACAAAGTACACTAAAGTTCCTCTACACAGGACACTAAGTTCCTCTACAAAGTACACTAAAGTTCCTCTACACAGTACACTAAAGTTCCTCTACACAGGACACTAACATTCCTCTACACAGGACACTAAAGTTCCTCTACACAGTACACTAAAGTTCCTCTACACAGGACACTAAAGTTCCTCTACACAAGACACTAAAGGTCCTGTACACAGCACACTAAAGTTCCTCTACACAGCACATTAAAGTTCCTCTACACAGGACACTAAAGTTCCTCTACACAGGACACTAAAGTTCCTCTACACAGGACACTAAAGTTCCTCTACACAGTACACTAAAGTTCCTCTACACAGTACACTAAAGTTCCTCTACACAGCACATTAAAGTTCCTCTACACAGTACACTAAATTTCCTCTACACAGGACACTAAAGTTCCTCTACACAGTACTAAAGTTCCTCTACACAGGACACTAAAGTTCCTCTACACAGTACACTAAAGTTCCTCTACACAGGACACTAAAGTTCCTCTACACAGTACACTAAAGTTCCTCTACACAGGGACACTAAAGTTCCTCTACACAAGACACTAAAGGTCCTGTACACAGCACATTAAAGTTCCTCTACACAGCACATTAAAGTTCCTCTACACAGGACACTAAAGTTCCTCTACACAGGACACTAAAGTTCCTCTACACAGTACTAAAGTTCCTCTACACAGTACACTAAAGTTCCTCTACACAGTACACTAAATTTCCTCTACACAGTACTAAAGTTCCTCTACACAGTACACTAAAGTTCCTCTACACGGTACACTAAATTTCCTCTACACCGTACTAAAGTTCCTCTACACAGCACATTAAAGTTCCTCTACACAGTACACTAAAGTTCCTCTACACAGGACACTAAATTTCCTCTACACAGGACACTAAATTTCCTCTACACAAGACACTAAAGTTCCTCTACACAGTACTAAAGTTCCTCTACACAGGACACTAAAGTTCCTCTACACAGTACACTAAATTTCCTCTACACAGTACTAAAGTTCCACTACACAGGACACTAAAGTTCCTCTACACAGTACACTAAAGTTCCTCTACACAGGACACTAAAGTTCCACTACACAGTACACTAAAGTTCCTCTACACAGGACACTAAAGTTCCTCTACACAGCACACTAAAGTTCCTCTACACAGGACACTAAATTTCCTCTACACAGTACACTAAATTTTCTCTACACCGTACTAAAGTTCCTCTACACAGCACATTAAAGTTCCTCTACACAGGACACTAAAGTTCCTCTACACAGGACACTAAAGTTCCTCTACACAGGACACTAAAGTTCCTCTACACAGGACACTAAAGTTCCTCTACACAGTACTAAAGTTCCTCTACACAGGACACTAAAGTTCCTCTACACAGTACACTAAAGTTCCTCTACACAGCACATTAAAGTTCCTCTACACAGTACACTAAATTTCCTCTACACAGGACACTAAAGTTCCTCTACACAGGACACTAACGTTCCTCTACACAGGACACTAAAGTTCCTCTACACAGGACACTAAAGTTCCTCTACACAGTACTAAAGTTCCTCTACACAGGACACTAAAGTTCCTCTACACAGTACACTAAAGTTCCTCTACACAGCACATTAAAGTTCCTCTACACAGTACACTAAATTTCCTCTACACAGGACACTAACGTTCCTCTACACAGGACACTAAAGTTCCTCTACACAGTACACTAACGTTCCTCTACACAGTACACTAAAGTTCCTCTACACAGGACACTAAAGTTCCTCTACACAGCACACTAAAGTTCCTCTACACAGCACATTAAAGTTCCTCTACACAGGACACTAAAGTTCCTCTACACAGGACACTAAAGTTCCTCTATGATAAACTCATTAAACCATGTATTTATAGAGTTACCCTTGTTCTCACCCCAAAACAGTTCCTACAAAGTTAGAAGCACATACTGTAAATGTCTAAAATGTCTTTGTATTCCGCAGCATTAACAGCAACCTTCACTAGAAATGCCTAAGCTTAATAATTTGGAGGGGAGCCCTCTAGTAGTGTCCATAGAGTGTTTAGAAATGCTATCACCAGGGGCATAAGTACAGGGGAGGCAGGGGTTGCAACTGTGACTTGGCCTCATCCTTCAAGGGGCCTGTGCGGCTCCCCTGTATACCTAGATAAGAGGGGTGGTGGGGGCGGCATATAGAGGAACCAATCCCCTCCTTGTTCCTACTGCAGCCGCTGAATGCCCACTTCTTCTCCTCTTCTTCCTGTAGACATTCAGCGGCTTCAGAAGGAACATGAAGGGGATCTGTTCCTCGATATGCCGCCCCCAGCCACCCCTCCTATCCAGCTTCTTTCTGCTGCCCTGGGCCCATGTGCTCTCTTTGTATTTCCTTTAGCCAGTACAGGGAAAGCATAACATATCAGGCAGGGTAGGAATGGAGAGAATATGTAGCTACAGTTTTGTAACAGGGAGTAAGTGATTTTTTTCTTATAGTGATATCCTAAAAAAGGACGCCATTGCCCTGACTCTTAGCCAAAGGGCTCCCTAATTCTATAGAAGGAGCCTGCAGAGCAGCCATTTCTGTGCAATAAAGTTTATTAGAAAATGTTACCTTCCATGAAACTGAAGAAAAAGAGCAAAGCAACAAACTATTTTGAAGGGCCTGTCCACCCAAAAGTTATAGGTACATCCTTTGGACTGAGTCACTCATTAGCATCTTATATTTATATAGGGACTTCATTCGTGATATTTATCCAGCAAAGATTCCAGTTCTGTTTCTACCCATCGTGGAAATCTGCCTTCTTACTAATTGGGTGTTTGTAATTTTTTGTAATTCTTTTGTAATTAACAGGGACAGTTGGGCCTATTCAAAACACTGAATACTCTCCACCACAGTCCCTAACAGACAGTCCATTGATTCAACTCTCCAGCAACTACCAAAAGCTGATATTTATGAGAACTGAGAGGTTTGACTTTTGGAAGTGGTTATATTATATGGAAAATATACTGTATATTGTCATGTAAATTGCCATAACATTACTGCCTGGCCTTCTGGAATCGCTATAATATGGATTAAACTATGGAGCCCCAGCTTTCCTCAATCTTTTTATCTCCAAGGTACCCCTAAAATAAATTGCGGGTTTCTGGGAACCTTTACTATAACTAATCATTGGGGCAATGGGGAAAATATCCTTGACGTTGGTGGTCAGTAGGAAGAATCCAACCCTTAAGGACAGCAAAAACGTTTGTTGGTATCATGCTGCTGGTATTGGCCCTAGAATTATGCAGGCAAAGGTTAATCAGCCACAGCTCAAGAAACATCAAGAAACCCTAGATAAGAATAACTGGTATATTTGTCAATATATATGACATTGTTGGTTTTCCTGAATTGAATAGAATGAAAATAATTGATTTCCCTTGTAGAGAGTCATTGAATCTCTTCTGTGCCTCTAACCCTATTCTCTCTCCAGTGACTGGATACAGTGAAATGACTTCACACTACCTCCTGCCAACTACATACACTGCCAACACTGGAGCAGTTCTCCACCCCAATCGATATACACTGACAGTATAAAAGGTTTAGCCTTCTTTGCCCAATGATCTGCTCTAAAGAAAAGCAAGGGGAAGGAGGAGAACAAAATTAGGTTAAGGGCAATGCTAAGACAGGAATGTAATTAAACAGTACTCACTCTATTCCTGGCTTTAATCCGCTTGTACACAAAATCAGGGAATGTCTTCCTTGGAACGAAACGGCCTGACCCTTGGCTGACGTGAAGAGTTTCACCTTCTAGAACAATCCGTCCTTGGCTAATAACAACCTCTGGTGCACCATGACATTCCATCCCTTCAAATATATTCATCTCCACAACCTGGCAGAGGTAGAAAAACCATGAAAAACAACAGTGAATGAGTGCAAGTATTTCTTTTATATCACACAATTAGGATTCAAGGATAAGTATAACCAAAACTGATATTTTAGTTTTTGGCAGGTGCTTCAGAGATAACCCCTTTTTCCCCCCTAGAGAATAGGTGCAGGTACACCCACCTTCCATGCTCGGCCCCTACCCACCTCCTAGCACCATTCCTTGGTTCCACCCCCTACGCACCTCCCAATGCCACCCCTTTTAGAGAATACAGAACCAAGTATCTTTTGTTAAGCTAAGTAATTTGTATGGAATTTGATAATGATAACAAAAAAAGAAATCAAATAGATCCCATGCAGCCAGTAACATATAGACCCCCCTTAGTAACAACAGTATCACCTCCTAGCACCATTCCTTGGTTCCACCCCCTACGCACCTCCCCTTAGTAACAAAAGATCCTCCTGCAACAATAGATCCTCGCACAAAAATATACCCCACAAAAAACAATAGATTGACCTAAGCAACACTAGATTCACCTCAGCAAAAATAGATCTTTTAACCGCCAGTAACAACAGACCCCTTCCTTAACAGTAGATCCCACCCAGCAATAACTGATCCCCTAATAACAATAGATATCCCACCAACAACAATAGACCTCCCTAGCAGCAACAGATGCCACCAGCAGTCAGCATCAATAGACCCTCCAGCCATTAAATACATCCAGTATTGCTGGAGGTATGGGAACTGGATTCCTCCAGAAAAAAAAGCCCTGGTAAGATCTCTGTGGTTGAGTTCCTGGAATTGAGCACCTGCTGTGGCCATTGTAAGGGGCTCACACTCCTTTTCATACAGAGAATATCACAGAACGAGCTGGAGCAGGTTGGTGTAAAGACATACATTTCCCAGAAAAAGACAGAAATATGGCAGGATAGATCTTCCTAGAATTTTCTAGACATAGAAGATGTCTAGGGATGCTACATCCATTATATGGAGTCCCACTCTCCATGTTGGATTTACTTATTCTATGCTATAGAGAATGTAATGGGAGTAGGAGGAAAACATTAATATTGATGGAAAGTTGTGGTATACAGCACATTTACAATTCCAGATCCTATTTTCGCCCACTCTAAGATTTCATTTTTGGCTGGACTGACCCTTAAGTCACTCTAGGTGTTCCTTTTTCTAAGATGAAATGCCCCCAAAATACCTTTGCCATTGCTCTGCGACACCACTGGTTTACCTGACTACTGCTCAGCAGAGAGCAATGAGTCACTGCCTGGGATTGTGTTTGCCTACAATTTTCTGTTTTAAATTTTATTCTGCTTAAAATGTAAAAAAGAAATCTTTATATTATACACAACTGGCAGCTGATCTAGAGAACACCATAATCCATTGGAGTTAAGACTGCTATTAGTTGGATAACAGTTATTACACACAGTAAAAGGGTTTCTTTAAAACGGGTATTAGGTTTATAATATCCCATTCATATGTTCTCAATTATTGGTATAGCAAGTAGTTATGACTACCAACATGACTTTTAACTTGCCAACATGTGTGAGCACAGAATATATTAAAATGTACTTTTTATTAGTTACAATACTGGTATCAAATAATAAATCTGTACAGATTAGACAATACTTCATCATTTAGGTCAATAGACCAAATGATAAACATCTGAATACTTTTCTGTAATGGTGCTCCCTGGTAGGTGACGCAGGGTCATCTGAGGTGCAGAACCTAAGCAGCAGTTGGTCTGCACCAGAGTTGCGGATGGTGGAAATCATCGGGGAACCCTACTGGTCCTGGTTTACTTTGATGTGAACTGACACCAGGTCAGAGCCCACAGGATTGCCCCACCAGGGGCTTTGCTAAAACTGAGAGGCTACAGTACAAAGTTATGTCCAGGCAGGGGTTGAGGCAGGCAGCAGGCATGAGAGTAATCTGGTCCAGGAAGAGGTCTAGGCAAGCAGCAACCAAAAACATAGTCATGTCTGGCCAGAGATTTAGGCAGGCAGCAAGCAAGAGCGTAATCAGGCCAATCCAGGTTGGCAACTAACAGGAAACTGGCAGGCACGTTTTATAGCTAGTGATAAGACACAGCACCAGTCACTGCAAAGACTGATGCCTAAATACCCTTCCTGGTTAAAGAACAATCCCAGAGTCTTTACTGGGAACTCTTGAAGTCCAGGAGGTAGCAGAGATCCTAGGAATTCTGGAAATCCCGGAAGACCCAGCATGGAGTACTATAATATGATCACTGTATGAGATCCTTTTTCCCACCACTATATTTATTCGACACAAAAACATTTGTTTAGATACATAAAGTCTATTAATGTAGTTTCCAGTGGTGGGAGGCCTGCGGTGGCCCCATTGTTCCATGGGTTGTCACAAGGTGATTCAGGCATGCCATCATTGGTCTCCATAGAAAGAAAAGTTTGCAAAAGGTACTGAGAAAATTGCACCCCCCCACCCAAGTAATGGAAACTACATTAAAAGACGTTAAAGTCTAAGTTCACCATTCAAAATAAATAATTAAATAAATAAATGCACATTTTTGCAGGAAAAAAAAGGCCATTTATTATTTTTTTTTACTGGAGCCTGCAGATCATTGCACCCATTGCTCATGCACCTACACAGATTTCCTCTAGCTTTGGGCCTGTACCCCCATAAGGGCTTTCAGTTACAAAGCTGGAGGAAGACTGAATAAACTACGAGCATGCTGAGCAACATAAAAGATAAATAAGTCTGCTGCGGTGGCAGATGGTACTTGTACTTTTTTCATTCACAGGAACTTGTGAAGGACTGATGTGTCTGTGTAGGCAGAGTCCTGCACAGCCACGCTAATTTCAAAAAGGAACAGCGGGTGCAGGGAGAGGATCCCCAACCTGCTGTCACAGAAAGGGGAGCGCTGGCTGCGTTAGGTGGGTGCACAGGAGCATATTACATGTTACACCCTAAATATGGATATAACATGTAACATGATTCTAAAGGTAAACATATCCCTTAAAATGTACTTTTTATTATTTAAAAATAATAAATATGTACAAATTAAGCAATACTTCAACTCAATAGAGCAAATGAGAAGGATTCAATGAAATATTTTTTCCTCTATGTCTGCGATCCCTTTTCCCACCTCGTTATTTATTCGACATGCAAAATATTTGTTTAGGTACTTAATACCTTCTGTGTTATTTTTCACATAAGTTGGCACCTTAAAAGTTCCGTTGTTGGTATATTTCTAGTTTAAACATACAGTTGTGCTCAAACGTTTGCACACCCTTGCAGAAACTGTGAAATTTTGGCATTCATACTGAACTGAAAATTTGACTCATTCCAAAAACTTTTAATTAAGGATAGTGATCATATGAAACCATTTTTTTTATCATATAGTTGTTTATAAAATAACAATAACAGAAATCATGCAAATGGTCCGGATCAAAAGTTTCCATCCCCTGGAATGTTTGGCCTTGGTACAGACACACAAGGTGACACACACGGGTTAAAATGGCAATTATAGGTTAATTTCCCACATCTATGGCTTTTTACATTGCAATTAGTATCTGCGTATAGTCAATGAGTTTATTAGCCTTTAACATGTATGCACTGAGCAGGCTAGATACTGAGCCATGGGGATTAGAAAATAACTGTCAAAAGACCTGAGTAACAAGGTAATGGAGCTTTGTAAGTTGAAAAAGGATGTAAAAAAATAATCAAAGCCTTGAATATGCCAGTCAGTGCTGTTAAATCACTTATTAGGAAGTGGAAAATTTAGGGATCACTTGATACCAAGCCAAGTAAAGGCAGAGCAAGAAAGATTGCAGCCATAACTGCCAGAAGAAAAACCCACAGGTAACTTCAGGAGAAATACAGGCTGCTCTTGATGTCAGGTAAACCTGTCAGAAGTGATTCATGCTGAAAGCAAAGGAACAAAGCAGCAGACAGAAATGACACTTAGTGCTCTGAATTGAGACAAGTACACACTATAAAGGGATATGTTTTGTTCATATTTCATGTCTGAGGTTTACAACTACTTTAATTGCTGTGCATAAGAGGCTTACTGACCCCAAAGCACCCCAGGTTCCCAATTATCTAAATTTGGCCCTGGCTGCACTTGAGCATGGGTAAAGAAAGTATTAGTAGCAGAGAAGGCAGACTATAAAGAGAACCTGGTACTTTGACCACACTTGGGCACACTGATAGGGCTATTTTATCTAAATGTACCTATAAATAAGATGCTTGTTGAATTACACAAAGAAAACTCATTTGTTATTGTTATCCGTAATTCTACATCACAATCCAGTCAGTTGTGCCCCTTGCCACTTACTGATATTTTCTTTCCTGGTAGCACAAGATGTACTAGAACACATTGCTACCATTCATTTATGCCACTACCATTAGTCTCTATGGGCTACTACACATTGGGGTTGATTTACTAAAACTGGAGATTGCAAAATCTGGTGTAGCTGTGCATGGTAGCCAATCAGCTTCCGGGGTTTTATTGCCAAAGCATAACTGAACAAGCTGAAGTTAGAAGCTGATTGGCTACCATGCACAGCTGCACCAGATTTTGCACTCTCCAGTTTTAGTAAATCACCCCCCTTATTTTTTTTTGTCATAAATGATTATGATTTGCTAAACAGAAAATACTAAAGGAACAAGTGAAATTTTTTATTTACTGAATTATGTGTCTTGGCAGAAATGATTTTTAATGTTTTCGGATTCCAGATAACTAGGTCAGCATCTGAGCCCGTGGCGATTCTTCCCTTCCGCGGATACAAGTTGAAAATTTTGGCTGCATTTGTGCTGGTCACGGCTACAAACTCATTCTCGTCCATCCTGCCAGAGGTCTATAGGAAAAAAGAACAACAATGAGAAAAAAGGAAATAATCCGTAATTTAAATAACTGACCATGGTATTATCCCCTGGACTACATACAAACCAAAATTAAATTCAATAATATTGTAGATACAAAGTAAAGCAATTACTGGACTTAGAAAAATATAGGCAAAAGCGCCAAAGGGCAGAATTCATGACTTCTCAATGCACTGCTATGACATGCATTGGAGGGAAGTGATCCTAATGAGAACAATGGTTTGTCTGTGCATGTGGCTGTACTGGAAAAATACACATAATGCATAATGATGATGCCATTGTGAACAAACCCTTACATTAGCCATGCACATAATGATGGAATTGTTTGAGAATAATTTTCAATCAATATGCGGTTGTTTTCACCAAGGGAAATGATCAGCCCCAAAGAAAAATTGCATTTCACCAAATCTAAAATTTTTAGTGTGTTGAATAAACTTTGCAATTGAAAATTTAAAGTCAATTTGAATTATTGTAAAGGACAATCGAGTTATTATTATGTGTATAACAAACTCTACGTTCTCTTTGTGGACTCTTATTTTATCTACATCATCCATTTTTAACAATTAAAACTGAACTCTAGTAGATACAACAAACAGAAATGAGTGCAACTTTGTATTACATAATACATCATTAAATGGATTTTTTTTTTGCAAGCAACATAAGTCCCTGAATGTTGCTTGGCAAAAGCCTATTGCAAACCTCTGTACAGCAGAGCTCAGAGTGGGAGAGAGAAGCAGAACTATCAGGTTTTTGCATGCTGGTAGGAAGAGAGCAGAGTGACACATAGATAAGATCACTAGTCTGCTGCTTCTCTTTTCACTGCCCAATCACAGGTTGGGGGGTGGGCAAAGGTCCGTAAGTGTCACTTAGTAGCGCCAGGGAAAATCAGGTCTCCTGGCTTGCCAGATAGAGCTGTGCTGTGTGGTAGAGCTGTGTTAGTCTCATAATGGGATGTGCAGAATTTAGCAGTGTGTCTGGATAGGTTAGGTTAAAGTGATATTAAAGGCTTTTTTTTTTTTTTAAATAAACATGTTATACTTACCTGCTCTGTATAATGGTTTTGCACAGAGAAGCCCCAACCCTCCTCTTCTCGGGTCCTCCATTGGCACTCCTGGCTCCCCTCTCCTTGACCAGTGCCCCCAAAAGCATGTCCCTTGCTATGGGGACACTGGTGGATGTTTGTTCCTGAGCTCCACTCTATGTATCCAAAAGACACATAGAGCTGTGGCTCGGCCCCCCCCCCCCCATTCTCTCTCCTAATTGGCTCATTGACTGTGTTTGACAGCAGTGGGAACCAATGACTCCTCAACCAATGAGGAGAGAAACCAGGGACAGCACAGACCAGGGGCGGACTGACAACTCATGGGGCCCCCCTGGGCAATAGGGGATCATGGGACCCCTGTGTCCTTGCCCAAACTCAAAAAATCCTATGAAAAAGGTACCAGGGGCATCTCATGGGGCCCCCTTCTGACCCACCGGGCAATAGGGGATCATGGGGCCAATGTGTCCTTGCCCAAACTCAAAAAAGCCTATGAAAAAGGTACCAGGGGCATCTCATGGGGCCCCCTACTGACCCCGGGCCCTCGGGCAGTGCCCAAGTTTCCAAATGGTCAGTCCGCCCCCTGGCACAGACTCCTGTTCACATCGCTGTATCAAGAGGGGGCTCAGATGAGTATTAGGGGGGCTGTGGGGGAGCAGCACACAGAAGATTTTTTTTACCTTTATGCATAGAATCACGAAGATAAAAAACCTTCAGCCTTTACAACCACTTTAAAGTAAGATCTGCAGATTAGTTAGAAAGTATGATTTTCATAATTTGTTTTCATCTTAGATACAGAATGAAAGCGTAAGAGCCTTTGTCGGATTTGTATTGCTATTTCCCTATTGGGGAGATTTTTGGTCACTTCCTGTCAGGACAGAAAGTGGTGGAAATATCTAAACGGAGATGGGAAATCTCTTAACAAGGACAGAAATAAAATATGTTTTAGCAGAATAAGGGAGGGTTAGACCCTGTTTTACTGCTGAGTACCTTCCTGCCTAGTGGTGACAACAGCACTTGGCTATTTCTTGTACAAGTGTTACAGAAACAGGAAATGAGGATAAAATCTTCGCAACGGGGCAACAGACAAAAGCATAAACCTAGAAAAAGCTGATATCTGAAAAATATTTGTAGATATGTACAGTCAGTAACCGTACCCACTTACCAACAGTGTGTGGGCAGCACAGTGGCTAAATGGTTAGCACTTCCGCCTGGCAGTACTATGGTCGTTGGTTCCAATCCCAGCCAAGGCACCACCTGCCTGGAGTTTGCATGTTCTCCCTGTGCCTGCGTGGGTTTCCTCCGGATACACCGGTTTCCTCCCACTCCAAAGACATGCTGGTAGGTTAATTGGATCCTGTCTAAATTGGCCCTAATATCTGTATGTATGAATGTAAATTAGGGACCTTAGATTGTACACCCCTTGAGGGTTAAGGACTGATGTGAATGTACAATATATATGTGTAAAGTGCTGTGTAAATTGACGGCGCTATATAAGTATCTGCAATAAATAAATAAAACAGTGTAACACATATATGCAGCAGTAGGGCAGGTGGGCCTTAATGCTCAGACACCACACATATGTCTCGGTGAGACTCTGAAGTTCTGTGCTGAGAGCGCGCTCACTGCATGCTCCCAGGATATTGGTCACCGACAACTCCCATGCGCTGTTATTGAATGGTCTCCCTATCATATGACCACTGTGACAGCCAATCATATGATTGGGAAGTCTCTTCTGCCTTCCGGTGTTAACAACCACTAAAAAAGCTCACCAGGAGATGGTGGGAAAATTAAGCACACCAAGAAATGTCTTTAAAAAGTCGTAGTTTTTTGTTATATTGACAATGCCCATATTTTTAGCAGGGTTCTATTAATCATACCTTACTGCTGTATTTGTCCATATTCTGCTTATTCTAAAGTGCTATTATATTAAATTATTAGCATTGAAAACAAGTGTTAACTTTTTTTCCTTTTACATTTTCCTTTAACATTATTTTTGTTCCATTTAACAGCTTTGTTGTAATACAAAAATCATATTCTCCTTACCACACATTTTTCCCATATTATAGACATTCGTTCTTCCACCCCATTGGTACCTTCTGGTATTAAGGTGAAATTGTCCTTCCCTACGGCTTTCTGTGCTGTGGTGAAGGCACAGTGTGCACTGCCCGTTACCTGAAGGTCAGAACTGCAAGAGAGAACTGTCATTAGAGGTTGACTCAGAAACAACATTTATCACATTTAGGGGGAGATTTACTAAAACTGGAGCACTCAGAATCTGGTGCAGCTGTGCATGGTAGCCAATCAGCTTCCAACCTCAGCTTGTTCAGTTAGGCTTTGACAATAAAACCTGGAAGCTGATTGGTTTCTATGCGAAGTTGCACCAGATTTTGCACTCTCCAGTTTTAGTAAATCGCCCCCTTTATATCTTCAGCCAAGGTTCCCACCCATCTATGCCATTCAAAGTCATTTGTACCTTCCTTAGCTAAAAGATAAAACATCTTTTGTTTCAGTCACTTTCTCGCTTTAGGCTACATAGAAAAAACCTACCAGTGTCATTCAACACTGTAACTAAACCTTTTGTCTCTGGCTGATTGGCTTCAATTGCAGTATGTGAGCTATATGATACCTACCTAAGAATGCTCGCCATTTTTAAAGCTCCTTTGCTGGCGTTGAAGAAAATGTTAAAGTTGTATTCAATTCCTCTTACCCCTCAAATTTTGTTCCCACTGACCTGTAGTGCTCTTCAAGGCACATACCCAATTGCACAGAGGGTGCAGCGCCACCATCACAGACCTCTTCAGCTGGCTGCCTCTGTATGGCTGCAACCAGCCAGCTCTAGTAATGTACTGACCCACCTACAGCCCTCTTCCCTGGCCACTCTGTGTTCCCATTTTGCAGCCTAATGGGAACTGTAATAAAAGTATCCCAGGAGGCTGCAGAACTGGGTATACAACATTCTGGCCTAGATGGGGGGGGAGGGTTGGGGCTAAAAAAAAAAATTAATGTAGCTAGGTACTGGACTAGCAAGACAAGCAGAAGTAGACATTTTCCTCTTTACAACCAGTTTACTTTCACGTTCTGCTGTTTTGCTGGATATTGCATTGCAGTATCCCCTCCAGTCAGCAAAGGGAAAACTATAGCCTGGAAAGCCTATGGATGGAACGCTGAGGATCATGGAAATTGTAGTCAGAACCATAAATCACAGAATGGGCCTTATGGACCTTTAAAATAAAGTTCCCTGAGGACATTGAGGAGGAAGGAGAGTGGTGGACGAGCTTTTACCAGACTGCACTGGAAACCTCTTCCTTTTTGCAACATGGGAGCCAAGGTGTGCACGCTGGTCCTGGTGCACACAGATTATCTATGGGGCGAGTGACCAGACCTGGAGGGGAGAAATCATCTGGGACAGCACAGCATGGACCCCAACATTCCAACAATGGCCAGTTCCTTGGCGTCCTCACATCCAGAGTAGGGCTATGGACCCTGCTCTGGTCTTGATGACGTCAGGATCCTAGACTGCTAGAGTGTGGGGATGCAGAAGCTGCGGGAGCAAGTGGAGGAGCGGGTAAGTATATCTCCTTTTATAGTTCTCCTAGAAATAAAAATGGAATAAATCCTGTCAGTGTGGGCATGGGATACTTTTTTATTTGCTTATGTTGCTTTTAAACCCAACAATGTTAATGGGCTTTAAGTGTGATTTTTTTTGGAGGGTATGTGTAAAGTAAAGTGCAAGCCTGGGCAAAAAAAAAAATAAAAAAAAAAATAAAATTATACATATATGTAAATATACCGGTATAAATATATATATACAGTATGTATATAATGTGTATGAAGCAGGTAAATAAATGATGTATAGAAATGTCTAAATGGATTCTCCCACATATGCTCATGCATTATTTACTATAAGTGCAGTCTATACATACCAGGACAGTAATGAACAGAGATATTCTGGGGTTGAGTGGTCGGTGCTCAGGGGTGGTGAAGTAACAAAAGCTGCAGCCTTTGCCCAGTTCTTACTCCAGTAGTGAGTGCCGTCAGCTCCCAGTCCACCTGCCAGTGTCTCACCATACACCACCGTACCTGACAAGAACAAGGCTGACACTTAAATACCAGTAAAGCATTCACGGCAGTGATAATAACAAATACAATCTTAATAATATTAATTTCTCTAATTACACTTACACTACAAATGGTCATATATATCCTTTTCAATGAAGAGATTTAGAGCTGAACTCAATGAACACATCATTTCATGTTTTTATTTAATATAAGCAGTGTAAATACCTGAATTTGTCTTGATAAAAATGCCTCTTGTGCAGTGGAGCTCAGACTGGGAGAGGGGGGAAGCAGCACAAGGAGACAATTTAGCTGCAGTGCTCATGTACTACAAGTTACATGCTGAATGGAGGAGAGATCAGAGTGACATGCAGATGAGCTCATTAGTCTGTTGTTTCCTCTATCACTGTCCAGTGACAGGCTGGAGTAGTGACAAGACCTGTATGTGTTATATAACTGCAGCAGAGAATAATCAGATCTCCTTCCCTGCCAGACAGGGCTGTACTGTGTGCTAGAGCTGTGCAAATGTCAGAACTAGATGGACAAATATAAAAATCATTTGGCAGGTAAAACAGCTCCTATATGGGGGGTATGGGGGGAGGTTTACTAACACTGGTGCCCTCAGATTCCGGTGCAGCTGTGCAGCCAATCAGCTTCTAACGTCAGCTTGTTCAATTAAGCGTTGACCATAAAAACCTGGAAGACAATTGGTTTCTATGCAGAGCTGCACCAGGTTTTGCACCCCCTAGCTTAGCTTTAAGTCAGAGGTTTCCAAACTTTCTAAACAAAGGGCCAGTTTACTGCCCTTCAAACTTTAGGGGGGCCAGACTGTGGCCATTGGATGAAGAAAATGTTCTGATGTCAGTGGGAGTAAGGAATGAACCATCATTGTTATCAATGGGCGGAATAGTGCCCCATCGTTACTATCAATGAGAGGAATAGTGCCCCATCATTGGTATCAGTGGAAGGAATAGCGCCCCATCATTGGTATCAGTGGAAGGAATAGTGCCCCATCGTTGGTATCAGCGGAAAGAATAGCGCCCCATCATTGGTATCAGTGGGAGGAATAGTGCCCCATCATTGGTGTCAGTGGAAAGAATAGTGTCCCATCATTGGTGTCAGTGGAAAGAATAGTGTCCCATCATTGGTGTCAGTGGAAAGAATAGTGTCCCATCACTGGTGTCAGTGGAAAGAATGGTGCCCCATTGTCAGTATCAGTGGTAGGAACTATGCCACACTGTTGCTAGCAGTGGGAGGAATAATGCCCTGAGGGCCGGATGAAAGCAAGCAAAGCTCCGCATCTGGTCCCCGGGCCACAGTTTGGAGACCACTGCTTTAAGTCATTACAAGTAGTCCAGTGGTCAGGGATTAAAGGCACCAATCCCAATGACAGTTAAGATACAATAATGAAAAATGTAAAGGTCCTAAAACATGATGCTAACAACCACATAAAATTTGACACTTTTATTTTTGTAATAACATATAAAACCAAACACCAAAAATATGGTATTAATAAAATCAACACTTAAATACACTGGAGATCACTGTGACTTTTATATGGATTATTGCAGCAGCTTCTGTTCAAATTCCACTTTATTGAGCGGAAGCTGCTGCAATAATCCATATAAAAGTCACAGTGATCTCCAGTGTATTTACAGTCATGGCCGAAAATTGTTGGCACCCTTGATATTTTTCCTGAAAATCAAGTATTTCACACAAAAAAGGTATTGCATTAACACATGTTTTGCTATACACATGTTTATTCCCTTTGTATGTATTGGAACAAATATAAAACAGAGGCAGAAAAGCAAATATGACATAATGTCACACAAACCCCAAAAATGGGCTGGACAAAAGTATTGGCACCCTTAACTTAATATTTGGTTGCACACCCTTTGGAAAACATAACTGAAATCAGTCGCTTCCTATAACCATCAATAAGCTTCTGACACCTCTCACCCGGAATTTTGGACCACTCTTCCTTTGCAAACAGCTCCAGGTCTCTCTTATTGGAAGGACACCTTTTCCCAACAGCAATTTTAAGATCTCTCCACAGGTGTTCAATGGGATTTAGATCTGGGCTCATTGCTGGCCACTTCAGAACTCTCCAGCGCTTCTTTGCCATCCATTTCTGAGTGCTTTTTGACGTATGTTTGGGGTCATTGTCCTGCTGGAAGACCCAGGATCTTGGACGCAAACCCAGCTTTCTGACACTGGGCCCTACAGTGCGACCCAAAATCCTTTGGTAATCCTCAGATTTCATGATGCCTTGCACACAGTCAAGGCACCCAGTGCCAGAGGCAGCAAAACAACCCCAAAACATCATTGAACCTCCACCATATTTTACCGTAGGTACTGTGTTTTGTTCTTTGTAGGCCTCATTCCGTTTTCGGTAAACAGTAGAATGATGTGCTTTACCGAAAAGCTCTATCTTGGTCTCATCTGTCCACAAGACGTTTTCCCAGAAGGCTTTTGGCTTACTCAAGTACATTTTGGCAAACTGTAGTCTTGCTTTTTTATGTCTCTGTGTCAGCAGTGGGGTCCTCCTGGGTCTCCTGCCATAGCGTTTCATTTCATTTAAATGTCGACGGATAGTTCGCGCTGACACTGATGCTCCCTGAGCCTGCAGGACAGCTTGAATGTCTTTGGAACATGTTTGGGGCTGCTTATCCACCATCCGGACTATTCTGCGTTGCAATCTTTCATCAATTTTCCTCATCCGTCCACGACCAGGGAGATTAGCTACAGTGCCATGGGTTGCAAACTTCTTGATAATGTTGCGCACTGTGGACAAAGGCAAATCTAGTTCTCTGGAGATGGACTTGTAACCTTGAGATTGTTGATATTTTGCCACAATTTTGGTTCTCAGGTCCTCAGACAGTTCTGTCTCCTCTTTCTGTTGTCCATGCTTAGTGTGGCACAGACAGACACACAATGCAAAGGTTAAGTGAACGTCTCTCCTTTTTATCTGCTTTCAGGTGTGATTTCTATATTGCCCAACCTGTTACTTGCCCCAGGTGAGTTTACAGGAGCATCACATGCTTGTAACATTCTTATTTATCCGCAGTTGTGAAAGGGTGCCAATACTTTTGTCCAGCCCATTTTTGGAGGTTTGTGTGACATTATGTCGAATTTGCTTTCTTTCCTCCCTTTTTTTGTTTTGTCCCAATACACACAAAGGGAATAAACATAGTGTTGATTTTATTAATACCATATTTTTGGCGCTTGGTTTTATATGCTGTTGCACAATAAACGTGTTAAATGTTATATGGTTGTTAGCATTATGTTTTGGCACCTAAAAAAAATCCTTTTACATTAGCTTTAAGTCAGATATTTTTAAAGCAACAAGACTGAAAGATGCCCAGGGAAACCCTTTTCTTCAGTCTGATTCCATCACCTTCCTGTGTGGGCACCCCCTTTAAGTCAATGATTATTGGCCTTTCTCAGCTTCAAGTGGTTGAAGTCCAATTAGATAAGAGATTAGTAAGGTGCCCAAGATCTGTACAGATACTAGCATAATTCCTTACTCCTGTCCACGGCAAGCTCAAAAGGAACTGAAGCACATGCTTCTCACCAGTAGGGTACGTGAGAGATATAAAATGGTTTAAAAGTGATTGTAAACCTCTGTTTTGAATGAACAAAGCACAGCCTTCTATAGTGTGTACTTGCCTAAAGCACCTAGTGTACTTCTGTTGACTGGGCTAAAATCACACTGTATCACACCAAAAGTAGTGTATGCACTACTTTTAAAAAACACACTGCAAACAGATCGCATGGTACTATAGTACCATGCGATCCGATGCAGACCATGCACTGCGTTTGTGATCGGTGTTTTGGTGTTGTTGTTAGGATATATATTGACATCTGTAGCAGACTGCACACCCAGTGCAGGAAACGCACATGGAATGTAAATTTCCCACACCGAGTTGCAGTGCGAATGGGTCCTAAGGATTTATAACTACTTTATCTGATACACTATTACATAAGCAAACACCCTCATAAAAATACGGATCTGGTATCAAATCAATCAACAGGTACTGTATAAGCATGACCATGAAAAGAGATAAATAAATAATATTGCTAACCTCTCTTGAAAGGCTATGTTCACATTTGTGTGACTTATCATGTGAATTTAGACGCATAAAGTTGCAAGACAAGTCTCAGCTCATTGTTTTCAAAGGCACCTGTTTGGATCTATGCGACTTAATGTTGCTGCGACTTTGAAAAGGTTCCTGCACTGCTTTGATGTGACTTGAGTGCCAGGGAGTGTAAAGTCGCAAAAAAGTTGCATAGTCGCATCAAGTTGCACTACACCATGGGGACCTTTTACTGTGAGGCTCCGGGTGAGAGAACTTGCTTTCCTGGTTCTTACTGTCTTTCTTTTTTTCCTTTTCATGTCTCCTTATTCTTTCCCTGGTTCTGGGGCCATTCTTTCATTTCTCCAACCTGCGTTTGCTGCCTCCCTCTTGTCCCTGCCCCTCCCCTCCCGCTCTTCTTTCTCCTTCATGTAATCCACAATTTAGCTTGGAAACCTTTCCTTTGCAGTTTTTCTGTAGTTCTTCTGTTACGAATTGTGTCTTTTAGTCTATGCCCCCTTACGGGACTACGTTGGCCACCAAGGCACTTCTACTGACCCCGATATTTTTTTATTTCTATTCCATGTGGTTGTATTGTTAGCTTAGGGTTCCCCTGTATAGGTTGGCATTTTGGAGCTACCTACCATTGGGCCCTGTCAGTTTTGCCTCTATTTGAATGATTTAATATATATTATACCCTGAAAAATCCTATTCGTTGAGCGGACCTCAAAGTTTTGCGGATGTCTCTGATATTTGTGTACTTATATAACTGTATCATACAATTTTTTGACCTGGTTTGTACAATGTAACTTACGGCCAAATAAAGGAAATACAAAAAAAAGTCGCACTCCAAATTCGCACTGGAAATCGTGCCACTTTGGAGGCGCACAAGTGTGAACAGAGCCTACAAGCTAGCTGCCTGGCTGGCATAGTGATCCTCTGACTTACTTGATCCAGAATAAGCATGCTGATCAGAATTCGGACTTTGCCCTGACTTCTGTGGCTCTATGCACATTCCAGGTCAGCGGCTGAAGGTCATAAAGCCAGATATAGCCAACCTGCAGGTTTATAAGGAGGTCAGCAATGGCAGTCCTCCATATTTTTCCTTTCTTTCATGAGCTTACTTGATGGATTAAAGGGTGCCGATGTATGAAAAGCGTGCTAAGAGTAAAAGGCTAATCTTACAGCCCGGGTTTAGAAATAAATCAGTGATTTCGACTAGACTCTATGAGCAATGTGTTCACACATCAGTCCCTCGGTACAATTATTAATGGCCTGGGTTCTCCATGGGTCAGGCGATTGCAGTACAGGTGTGATTTCTTATAATGAATGACAATTGGCTTTTCCGCTAACACAAAATGAGATTTGCTGCAAGAATGAGCAAAGAAAATATTCCCATTATAATTCCTTCAAAATGGCCCCAGCAGAAGACTGACAAGCCGATATTTTACCTTTCCTCTTTGCTTGGGCAATCACATCGGCAGCTCCCTTGCCCATGACTTTAGTGATATACAAGGGGCAGTTGGCTTGTTTGGCGATGGTTATGGCACGGTAAGCTGCCTCGGCCTCGACCTAGCGGAACAGAAATCACATTAAGTACAGCAGCTGGAGCCGTCAGGCAGAGACACCTCATGTGGGAATGAATGAAAGCAGCTCATTACCTCCTCTGGGCGGCTGAGGACATGGCCTTCAGGTCCAGTGATGCCAAGTTCTAGCAGACGCTTTTGTTCCTGAACAACATGAATTATAAAACACAAGTAAATTGCTTGGGAAGGGAAAGGGTTCAGCACTGTGATTGCACTGTTTATCCATTAAGCTACAGAGGAGGATTGCTGACCTGCTGTTATAACAAAAAAAATGTGAGAGCTTTCATAAGCCTGTGCATTAAAGTGACACACCTCAAATATTTACGTATGTATTCTTTATTCAAAAATATACTTTCTATTGCTCTCAGACACCTTCAAATCTCCTTTTTTGCTGCTGTGACCGACTTCCTGTTAGAAGGTGGCTACAATCATTCTCCATGGTCACACTGTATGTTGGGTGTAGCCACCCTCACTTGCTCACTCCCCTGATGAACTATGGAATTTGTAATGTGCATAGAGCAGTCTACATGTCTGCAACTAACGTACACTGCTTGTTCCAAACAAACAGAAGTGAGGGGAAATGGAGAGGTTCAGCAGCTCACAGAGGGCATTACAAGGAGGCAGAGAAACACAGTAACAAACAATCTTGTGAAAAACAGGTTACAGGCCATTAAGTAGAGGATGTGTATGAATTATTTTGGATGAATAAAGCCCAGTACAAATGATGAGAATATCGGATTAATGATCATCGGGTTTTTTTTTTTACAAAAATGAAGAGGTTACTAAAGTTACGAAAATTCTTGTACTACAAATTCGAAAGTGATGTAATATATTGTATTGTATTGTATTTGTATTGTATTTTCGGATGAAAACTGATTAAGGAAAAATTTTTAAGCTTGCCCCTTCAAATAATTTTGGATGAAAGCTGTGTACTTATGATCAGATTATTGTACGATCGCTTCGAAAGTGGTATTTTTTGTATAATTTTCTGATCGTGTGTACTACGCTTAAATCTATGATTTAGTGTCACTTTTAAGTATATCTAAACAAAAGATCAAAACTGCAATATACACTATGTTGCCAAAAGTATTGCCTGCCTTTACACGCACATGAACTTTAATGGCATCCCAGCCTTAGTCCGTAGGGTTCAATATTGGGTTGGCCCTGCCCTTTGCAGCTATAACAGGTTCAACTCTTCTGGGAAGGCCGTTCACAAGGTTTAGGAGGGTGTCTATGGGAATGTTTGACCATTCTTCCAAAAGCGCATTTGTGAGGTCAGGTACTGATGACGGACGAGAAGGTCTGGCTTGCAGTCTCTGCTCTAATTCATCCCAAAGGTGTTCTATGGGGTTGAGGTCAGGACTCTGTGCAGGCCAGTCATATTTCTGGGAACCCCTTTATGGGGGCCAGTGGGAATAATGTCCCTTACATTGGTGGTCAGTAAGGATGAGCTAAGGTTCTGCTGGGAACTGTCAGTAGGCCTCCATCCCAATCAGTTGCAGCTATTACATTCTCTGCCCCACAGCCACGCGTAACAAAGGGACTGGGATGCAGATAACATAGTTGACTGAATATGGCCATATGTGGACAATGTAACTGAACAAATATGTCAATGTGCCCATTATAGGTCAATGATGTCACCAGAATCTCCGCCCCTTTTTTACAAGGCTGCAGCTGAATGGGACAGCAGCCTGCTGTCATATGAGAGCTTCCTTAGCTCATCAATACTGACCACCAACATATGGGGCATTTTTGCCACTGACCCCCATCAAGGGGTTTCCCTTAGGTGTAATATTATTTCAAGAGTTTTTCTAGGGCAGCCTTTCTCAACCTTCTTCTCAACATGGGAAGAACTTTTCAGTCTCATGGAATCTCTGCTAATAGTTACTATATCTACAGCTTATGGTACATTAGTGTGATGGTCAGTGGACAGAATGTTCCTTATATTTCTGGTCAGTTGAAAGACTACCCGATAGATAGCTAAAACCATCATTGACTTCAGTGGTAGAGGCAGAAATTGCTCTTTGTGCAAGGAACCCCTAGAAACATCTGGAGGAACCTTGGGTTCTATGGAACCCTGGTTGAGAATGGCTGCTCTAGGGTAACAAGCTTGAGAAAGGTTTCCCTAGAACAAGAAGTGTGTTACTGGCAGTATAATCAGGTGAACTAAAGAAAACAACTACCTGAAAAAAAGAAAACCAACGCAGACACCACATCTAAGGACTGGTAAGCTGCAATATATGATATGTTTTGGTTTTGGTTTTAAACATTGCTGCAGATGAGAAAGGGCAAAGATGACAGTACCTCTTGAATGATGTCCCCATTTTCTGCATGAACCTGTGCTATGGCACCCAGCTCCCGAATGATGCTGAAGATTTCAAACATCTGTGAAAAGAAGATAGAGGTGAGAACAACAATAGCTTAGTAACATTCATGGCTGGGATAAGATAATCAGCTGACAGTCCACCAGAGTACTCTCCCCTCCCACTGTGTAATAGACCTAAATTTGAACGTAGAGCATGTTACCAAAAGACGAAGGAAAAATTTTGTTGTTTATGGATACAAATTACACAGTCTGAGAGCTTCTACTGTTTTATGGATTTAGTAAGAAAACTTTGTGCACATCTCTACTCACTGATCATAATTCAACTACTTGTTTATCTCTTGGTGGATGGCTTGTCTGGGGCTAATACCCTTTTGTCTTTTTATAAAAGTATCTCTACAGGTGAAACTCGAAAAATTAGAATATCGTGCAAAAAATTAGAATATCGTGCAAAAGTTCATTTATTTCAGTAATGCAACTTAAAAGGTGAAACTAATATATGAGATAGACTCATTACATCCAAAGCAAGATAGTTCAAGCCGTGATTTGTCATAATTGTGATGATTATGGCTTACAGCTCATGAAAACACCAAATACACAATCTCGGAAAATTAGAATATTACATGCAATCAATAAAACAAGGATTGTACATAGAACAATATCGGACCTCTGAAAAATATAAGCATGCATATGTACTCAGTACTTGGTTTGGGTCCCTTTTGCAGCAATTACTGCCTTAATGTGGCGTGCCATAGAAGCTATCAGCCTGTGGCACTGCTGAGGTGTTTTGGAAGACCAGGATGCTTCAATAGCGGCCTTCAGCTCTTCTGCATTGTTCAGTCTCATGTCTCTCATCTTTCTCTTGGCAATGCCCCATAGATTCTCTATGGGGTTCAGGTCAGACGAGTTTGCTGGCCAATCAAGCCCAGTAATCCCACGGTCATTGAACCAGGTTTTGGTGCTTTTGGCAGTGTGGGCAGGTGCCAAGTCCTGCTGGAAAATGAAGTCAGCATCCCCATAAAGCTCGCCTGCGGAAGGAAGCATGAAGTGCTCCAAAATCACCTGGTAGACGGCTGTGTTGACCCTGGACTTAATGAAGCACAGTGGAACAACACCAGCAGATGACTTGGCTCCCCAAATCAACACAGACTGTTGAAGCCTCACACTGGACTTCAAGCATCTTGCAGTGTGTGCCTCTCCATTCTTCCTCCAAATTCTGGGTCCTTGGTTTCCAAATGAGATGCAAAAGTTGCTCTCATCAGAAAAGAGGACTTTGGACCACTGAGCAACAGACCAGGTCTGTTTTCTTTAGCCCTGGTAAGACGCTTCTGATGTTGTTTGTTGTTCAGGAGTGGCTTGACAAGAGGATTACGACATTTGAAGCCCATGTCCAGGATCCGTCTATGTGTGGTGGCTCTTGATGCACTGACTCCAGCCTCAGTCCACTCCTTGTGAAAGTCCCCAACAATTTTGAATGGCCTTTTCCTGACAATCCTCTCCAGGCTGCGGTCATCCCTGCTGCTTGTGCACCTTTTTCTTCCACACTTTTCCCTTCCACATAACTTTCTATTAATGTGCTTTGGATACAGCACTTTGGGAACATCCAACTTCTTTTGCAATTACCTTTTGAGGCTTTCCCTCCTTATGGAGAGTGTCAATGATGATTTTCTGCACAACTGTCAGGTCAGCAGTATTTCCCATGACTGTGATTCCTACTGCACCAGACTGAGAGACCATTTAAAGGCTCAGGAACCCTTTGCAGGTGTTATGGCTTAATTAGCTGATTAGAGTGGGACACTTTGAGCCGAGAATATTGCACCTTTTCACAATATTCTAATTTCCTGAGATTGTGGATTTGGGGTTTTCATGAGCTGTAAGCCATAATCATCACAATTATGACAAATCACGGCTTGAACTATCTTGCTTTGCATGTAATGAGTCTCTCTCATATATTAGTGTCACCTTTTAAGTTGCATTACTGAAATAAATGAACTTTTGCACGATATTCAAATTTTTGGAGTTTCACCTGTAAATATACTGAACATAACATAGCAGGTCACTGTTTAATTACATCAGTAGCCTAATATAATGGATTTATCTGGTCATTATTTGATCTGCATAGGTTTGCATTATTTAATTTTACCTCTGCATCCGAACATTGGTAATTGTCTTTGTAGGCCATAAATACAAGAAATGAATTCACACCTGAAAAATAAAAAAGGGAAGAGATGGAGAAACATGGTAAGTGATTTTAGATTGGCTCTGGTTCCTCTGGGTGGGAAAGGTTATATGGTTGCCATTTGCCTATGTACCGTATCTGCATTTGGCATTGCTTTATCGTTGTAAATTGCTGCTATATCGGGTATATATGTGGATATGTGAGTTGGATCTATTCAGTGAGGTACAAAGTACCATATCCTATGTTGACCATTCTAAATAGGAACTAAACAGAAATCTCCATAACTCCCATTAGTGAGTATGAAATGCAATCATACAACTATTTTAGATTTATAAATTCCCCCCAAAAAATAAATGTAAGTGTGGTGAGGACTCTCACCCTTGTCCTTTACTAAAGCCTCCATCTCTTCTTTTAGGCTCTCATGCCAGTATGTGATGTCCACATGTAATGAATAATCACAGCAGACTTTCCCATCAGCCCACTCTCTCCATTGGTCATATGCAGCAAGCAGGCTCATTCCAACCTCAGGAAAGACATGGTCAACTGAAAAAGAAAGCAAAGGGTCAGTGATTAAAAGAAAACTCAAAATGGTACTTTTACAGTATACAGTACAGTTCTATGGATGCCTGTGTACATAGTTTTCAAATGTACATTAAATATGCCATGTAATGGGCTACTTGTGCAAGCAGAAGATGTGGTCAGCAAAGGGCCTCGGTCTGAGAACCATTTATTGGGTCTTCCCAGTGAATCAGAGACCTAAGTACAAACCGTTATTAATTCATTCTAAGTCCTTATATAGCATTTAACACGCTTTACACATTGTACATTCACATCAGTCCCTAGCCTCAAGGAGATTACAATTAAAAGTCCCTGACTCACATTCATATATACACATACTGGGGTCAATTTAAACAGGAGCCAATTATCCTACGAGAATGTCTTAGGAGTGTGAGAGGAAACACACACACAGGGAGAACATGCAAACTCTATGCAGATGGTGTCCTGGTTAGGATTCAGACCAAGGATCCTAGTGCTGCAAGGCAGAAATGTTAACCACTAAGCCACTCTGCTGCCCATTTAATTGGGCAGATGCAAGTGAATAATAGGCTCTATGGTGTCTTGAACCTGCTCATGCTCCATAATATGCAGCTGTGGTCACATAGTGAACAAACCTTTACTTCCAGCACAAAAGATATCACAAAGAAATGCAAAAGGTATTATGCATATTTCAGCACTAATCAGGCAGGAATTGAGGCAGGTCCTCCCTGCCTGATACCACTTGAATATTACAGACCAGGATAAGCATTAGGACATCATGAATACTGCCTACTACTTCTCACCTCTTCTGGTTGTGATCAGTGCCCAGGTCTACATTACAGCAGGAGCCTCCAATTACTCATCCCATTCATATTTTGTGTAAAAGAGCCCCTTTAATAACAGACTCAGACAATATACAGTATATTGCCAAAAGTATTGGGACACCCCTCCAAATCATTGGATTGAGGAGTTACAATCACCTCCATGGCCACAGGTGTATAAAATCAAGCACCTAGGCATGCAGACTGCTTCTACAAACATTTGTGAAAGAATGGGTCACTCTCAGGAGCTCAGTGAATTCAAGAGCAGTACCGTGATAGGTTACCACCTGTGCAATAAGTCCATCCGTGACATTTCCTTGCTACTAAATGTTCCACGGTCAACTGTTAGTGGTATTATGATTAAGTGGAAGCAACTGGGAACAACAGCAACTTCTAAAGTGACAGAGCAGGGACAGCGCATGCTAAAGCGCCAGTGCGCAGAAGTCGCTAATTGTCTTCAGAGTCAATAGCTAAACACCTCCAAACTTTGTGTGGCTTTTAGATTAGCAAAACAACAGTGCATAGAGAGCTTCATGGAATGGGTTTCCATGGCCGAGCAGCTGCATCCAAGCCTTATAACACAAAGTACAATGCAAAGCGTCAGATGCAGTGGTGTAAAGCACGCTGTCACTGGACTCTAGAGCTGTGGAGACATGTTCTCTGGAGTAATGATTCGCATTTCTTTGTCTGGCAATCTGATGGACATAGAACCAGCAAACACAAATGCTCCTGCGCTTGGGGATGGACTCGATGCAGGCTACAACCACATTAAGAATGTCCTGGAACATGCACACCTTGCTGCCCTCAAATGGACCGGGGGAATCCAAATATACTGAATGGGGAAAGAACAAAGAGAGGGCGCACAGGCCTAGTGCATTACCATAAAAAATGTTTAATAAAAAATAAAGTAGGTGTTGTACTCACAAACGACAATATAGTCAAGGCACATCATAAAAGAACAGCTGGGTCAACACCGCGCTGAGTAACAGTCCGCAATAGGGAGTGTAGACATCCAAAAGGCTGACTCGTTTCGAGGACTTGCCTCTTCCTCAGAGCCTCAGAGGAAGAGGCAAGTCCTCGAAACGCGTCAGCCTTTTGGATGTCTAAACTCCCTATTGCGGACTGTTACTCAGCGTGGTGTTGACCCAGCTGTTCTTTTATGATGTGCCTTGACTATATTGTCGTTTGTGAGTACAACACCTACTTTATTTTTTATTAAACATTTTTATGGTAATGCACTAGGCCTGTGCGCCCTCTCTTTGTTCTTTCCCCAATCTGATGGACATGTCTGGGTTTGGTGTTTGCCAGGAGAATGGTACTTGCCTGACTGTATTGTGCCAAGTGTAAAGTTTAGGGGGATTATGGTGTGGTGTTTTTTTTCCAGGAGTTGGACTTGGCCCCTTAGTTCTAGTGAAGGGAACTCTTAAGGCATCAGCATACCAAGACATTTTGGACATTTTTATGCTCCCAACTTTGATGGCCCCTTCCTGTTCCAACATGACTGCACACCAGTTCACAAAGCAAGGTCCATAAAGACATGGATGAGTGAGTTTGGGGTGAAAGAGCTTGACAGGCCTGGAAAGAGTCCTGACCTCAACCCGACAGAACACCTTTGGGTTAAATTAGAGCAGGGACTGTGAGCCAGGCCTTCTCGGCCGACATCAGTGCCTGACCTTGCAAATGTGCTTCTGGAAGAATGGTCAAACATTCCCATAGACACACTCCTAAACCTTGTGGACAGCCTTCCCAGAAGAGTTGAAGCTGTTATAGCTGCAAAGGATGGGCCACCTCAATATTGAACCTGACAGACTAAGAATGGGATGCCCATTAAAGTTCATGTGCATGCAAATGTAGATGTCCCAATACTTTTGGCAATGTAGTGTTTAATATACTGACTCAGACACAACATAATGTACTGATTCAGGCACAATATAATATACTGACTTAGGCTCAATTTCCTAACACAGCTCACCTTTAAAGTATATGTGAACCCTCACCATGTAAAACAACCCATTCAGTTTAAAATAGAAATGAAAGACAAAACATTTGTTTATAGATATAAAAAGATATGGAAATCAATTCTTTAACACAGGGTGGTTACTGTGGGGGCATGAGCATGGGAACAGAATTGTGTGGTAACCGGGCTGGGGGTGGCAGAGCCAGCCATCCCTAAAGTATCCAGAGAAGGGAGTCCCTTAAAGCAGGCACCTACACCCGCCCATCCCTTAAAGGGATCTCTGGCCAGCTGGATCCTGTACCTATCTGTGAGCTCCTGATAGCACCACCTTACCTAGAGGGAGGATTATCCTGGATTAGGATGTTACCCAACTCCTAAAGTGGACCTCTACAGAGTAATTTAATGCGTATATACATTACGCATTTGGTGAGTGCATAATCCTACCATACTATTCGGAGCACTATTATTGGATTCTACTGCTTATTCGCACAGACTGTCACTTTTTTGTCATTTAGTTTAACATGTTTATGGACATTATTAATGTTTTTTAGTGCTGCACCTATTTACTTAGTGTGATACATGGACATACACGGATACATACAATTATAAAATTGTTACAGGGTATAGACAACCCCTGCAACATACAACAATGTATAGACAATGCGGAATCATGTACTAACAGTAGGTCCCACAGTAGAAAATATACCGTGACTCGGCAAAAGTTAAGTGAAGCTATTCTGATAGTAGTAAGTGCAATAACTCAACATGTTTCGCAATAAATATCACTTCTTCAGTAGCTGTAGGATGACTTCTATATGAAAGAATATAGGTTGATGAACAAACATATATGCTACCAAATGTATATATCTCAGATCAGTTAAACAGCTATATGATTTTAAAGTACATGCATCTGCATAAAGGAAAATTGGAGGGAGCATTCGGCCATACCATGGTGGACCAATCGATGAGAGGAGAGCTGGAGGGGCAACTCTCCTATCCCGCGACAGTACTTAACATAAAAAAGTATATAATAGCTAAAAACAATGTAGGTGGCCCTCCTCAATGGTTAGTGCTTCCATAATTACATTAGCCTGACTAAATTCCCCACTTATTTAAACGTAGTAAAGTCAGTGATTCTGGTCCAAATAAGATATATACTGTATATAAAGACTAAGAAAGAGCCTATATTGTAGAGAGATCTCCACATAAGACAGAGAAATGGGGAAAAGAAAGTTACATAATATTCAGTTTAAAAAGTATACTATACTAGCCCCATTTGCCCCCTCCCCCACTCCTGGGGTGCCAGACACTGAGGTCACCAGTAGTGAAAGCAGTGCAGAAAGAAGAATATCAAGCCTTACTTGCATATGATGGATCAATGATCCTAGGTGAGCACCCTATAACTGGCAGTATAATAGTATTTTTTTGGGATAGCCTATAAATTTGAATTGTGCCTCTTCCGGGCAGCATATGTTCTGTAAAAAGACACATCTATGTATAACCCCAAAGGTACATCCCAATAATTAATCATTGAATCCCTGTATTCATTATAGCAAATCGCTATTCTAATGTACCTGTTTGGAAGTGCAAAAGTGCAAAGTGAAAGAGATCTTAGAACCACCCATGAATCTGGAACGTTACACGCAAGGACCACGGGAAAGTATGAGCTCACTAGATTTCGGGCAGTAACAGACCAAAAGAATGCAAGTATTAGAAGATCTTCCTTGGAGTTTACATACACTTTAGTCTAAGGCCTGCATTTGGTTTACTCACTGATCATCGTAGTGCCTCCAGCTAAAGCGGCTTTAGTTCCCTGGAAGAAGTCATCTGCGCCAATCATTCCCATCACAGGCATCTGTAGTCTCGTGTGGACATCTATTCCTCCAGGTATGACCAGCAAGCCATGGGCATCGATGGACTTAACACCACCAGGGACAATCAGGTTTTCCCCAATTTGTCTAGAACAATACAATAAAGTAAATGAGAAATATATATTTTTTTTTTAAGGAACAACACATCAAGTATGGCGGACATTTGACCTACACCTCTGGGGCAGTTCCAGGGTCTAGCAGTCAATGGATAGTTCCAAGCACTGTAATAGGGTCAAAGAAGTGATGTCACCACTCCCCGCTGTTAGTGACATTGGTGATTTTGAAGATAGCAATGGAGGAAAGATTGATGAGGTATTGTTGGCCAGATGAGCATAGGAGGGACAACAGGACAACTTTGCAGAGACAAGGGCAAGGTGACAGTGGGGGTTAGTTACTAAGACTGAAGAGTGCAAAATCTGGTGCAACTCTGCATAGAAACCAATCCGCTTCCATGTTTTTTTTTTGCCAAAGCTTAACTGAACAAGCTGAGGTTAGAAGCTGATTGGCTACCATGCACAGCTGCACCAGATTCTGCGTACTCCAGATTTAGTATATCTACCCCTGTGTCACTCTTAGTAAAGACTTGGCCTGGCACTACAGCTATGCCATGATAAAAAAAAAAGTCCAGGAATGGTAGGCTACATCCATCAAATGTAATTTAAGGCTTCATTTTTAGTTCTGACTGAAGTGTATATAATGTAATGTAATTTTTTTTTTTTATAAATATGTAGAAAGTGTGATTTGTAATCTACAGTGTTTTGCATTTATTTTTTCTCTACAGCATATGGTATGCATCCACAAAAGGTTTACTTCAGTCATCAGCTGGTCAGGTCTTTTCATTAGACCAGTGGTGGTCAATTTTCATGATATAGGGGGCAGGCCTGGATCTAGGGGGGTGATGGGGTGGGCTAAGCCCCCCAGATTTTATTTGTGCTCCCCCCCCCCCCAGATATCTGAGCGTGCGTCAATGAGCCTTGATGGAGACAGTTGATGAAAGGGGACAGCTAATGTAAGGGGGCACTTTGAGGGGAGGAATTGATGTAAGGGTGCACTCTGATGTGGACTTTGTATGTAAGGGGCACTCTGATGAGGACACCTGATGTAAGGGGGGACACTTATAGGAACCCCAATGTAAGGGGGAACTCTGAGAATGACCCCTGATGTAAGGAGGGACTCTGATAAGAAAACCTGATTTAAGGGGGCACAGGTTCCTATTTAATCATCCTTTAACATTCTAATGCTCTCTGTTCACTAGTGCATCTCCTCTGCACAATCTGTCAGACTTGACTTCGGGGTTGTGAATCTGTGGTACAGTAACGTGCCGATTGAACAGGGAATACAGCTTCCATTATGCCCCTGACCTTTTTTACTGCACCCCTAGATCAAATAGGCTAGATCCCTCCCTAATCTATTAATGGCCAGATCAGTCTATGGCCATTCTACAAAAAATAAGTATCAGAAACTGCAGGCATGCTACAAGGGATGGTCAGAGACCAAAGAGACTTTAGATGAGACTACTATAGATCACTGCTTTGGGGTGATGTAAGGTCATCGCGTCTGGGTGTCTATATCATAGTCTAACAAAGCCAATCTGGTCGACAGCTGTAGACATCATCTCAGTATAATCAATGGAAGTCCAGTGACGTACCAGGTAGAGTATATGATTGGCTGGCAATTGGGTATTTATTCTACACTGGTTTAAGTCAACATTAAAACACTGCTCACTGCAAGGGACCTGAGGGTCGTACAAGTAGTGCCATGTATCCCCTGGTCCAAGGGTTGGGCACCAGAACATTCAACACACAACAACTTTCTAGGTAGCTGAGGTAATCTCCTATTACCTTTTATACTTCAATATTTTTATCAAAGTTTTCAAAGCACATAACAGCTGTTTAAAAAAAAAAAGTCTCGAAAGTAATTCCTCTAGGGGTGCACACCTGAGGAGCAATAGGCTGTCAAGTGGTAAAAGTGTATATAGGATCAAGTAGTAGTGAATCAAAGATATAAAATAGTTTCCACATTCAACAGAGGAGATCTTCCAAGTGACCTCCTAGTACCTTTTGCTTTTAATTTAGTCATTGTTATATATTTCCTTGGTGCGTCCACAGTTTAGTAGGAACACATTTTGCACAGGCAGATTAACAGCGGTGTGTCACTTCAGCATATATGCTAATTTATGCTAATACAATCCTAATTTTAACATTATTTTACAAGAACCTTTTTTTATATAAAGTAATGTGTAGTAGCTAGGGCAAGTGTGAGGTTTAAAGCGGCATTAAAAACCCAAAACTAAAAAATGTATATATTGCAGCTTACCAATCATTAGATGTGGTGGCTGTATTAGTTTTATTTTTTAGGCCTTTTCCCTTTGTTTACACTTGGTAATCTGGCCAGTAACACATACTCCTGTATTAGAGTGCCCCAACTCTGGATGAAAGTGCACAGGGGGCACCTTTGGACAGCAGTTTTGAGGGGGAGGGTAGAGGTAAAAGTACACATTTCACGAAATATATTGTTGAATAGAACCATACAATACATTGTAATATATTGCCTCTCACTTACTTTATTAAGCCATCTTCAATGTAAATGTCTGCACAGAATGACTGATCATCGTTCACAATTTTCCCTCCTTTGATATGAAGTCTGTCACTCTGGAATGGAAAAGATTAGATATATGGAGTATACAGCCCAATGTCAAATGTAAGCCATGAACTGGTGACGGAGGACAAGTGACTAGGTGAATGCTGAATAGTATGAAACACTGGAGTTAATCCAATCAGGTAATTGCATCTAATAAATAAAACCACACTGCTGTGAAACTTGCTGACAGAACTAAGCAGAAAGGAAAATAAAGTGCAACCCTTTATTGGCTATGCTAAATTTTGATAGACATTAGTCTATGCTGACACCTGTATGATTCCAGAAGGCCAAAGCAGGAGAACATTTTGTTTACTCAGATGCCTGAGGAACTTACTGTGGCCATGCATGGCCAACATTTTCCAATATTTGAACATCTCTTGCTATAACCATGGTGTGTAAAAGTTAAATAAATACATATTTGGAGATTTTCTGCCATGTTTGACAATCTCTGCAGCCAACTGTCAAGTCTCATCTCCATGGTGTACAATTTAAGGAAGGACAAGCAAGTCTCATACTGCCCATTGCTCTTGCTGACAAATCTGTCTGTTGTATGGTCACCCTTGGTGTGATCCAGTAAAGATGCAATGGGGGTTATTTACTAAAACTAGAAGATGCAGAATCTGGTGCAACTCAGCAGAAAAACTAATCAGCTTCCACGTTTTATTGCCAAAGCATAACTGAATAAGCTGAAGTTAGAAGCTGGTTGGCTACCAAGCACAGGTGCACCAGATTTTGAGTGCGTCGGTTTTAGTAAATCTCCCTCAATATGTTAGTTGATTTCTTCTAACTACACATATAAACAGGTATGATTGTGAGGTTATTGCAATTGAATCAGATTTTTGGGTATGGAGATACCTGCTCAGTTCAGTCTATGACAGTCTTTCTAACACAGAGGAACCCTGTGAGTTAACTTTTAGGTCCCAGGGAAGCCCTGCCTATAATACTTATATCTACTGCTCAAAGGCCATTAACACAAACAGAAAGTTGTGAATATAAGAATAAAAAAAAGGAATATAGTATACTTAGTGTATTGGACACCCAGAGCTGCTCTATACATGACAAAATTATTTTCCATAATAATAATGAAATGAAACAATAATGGTAGAGACCAGAAAAAAGTCTGTAAAGATTGTACTGCTCCTTCATATAGGTGGTCAGTGGAAAAGTGCTCCCTGTACATTGTTGATTAGTGAAATGCCCATTTACAGTGGCAGTCCATGTAGTGCCCCATTTACACTATTGATTAGTGAGGGTTCCTCTACTCTAGTTGTCTGAGGAGAAGGGTTCCCGTAGATTGGTGGTCTGTGGTGGAAAACCCACTTACATTGGTGGTGGTCAGAGGGAAAAATGCCTCCTTACAGATAACTGAAAAGCTCTTTGGTGTCAGTGATAATTTATCCAAGAGGCACAAATTACTCACTGGCCAAGGAACCCCTAGCAACCTCTGGAGGAACCCTAGACGTCCATGGAACCATGGTTAAGAAATGTTGCTTTATGATGTTCCACAATGTGCTTCAAGAGAAGAATATCCCTTCCAGTCTTGTAATATCTATAGGGCTAAACTTAAAATGATTCTAGGCTATCAAAGTCCACTCCAGCCAAAATTTTAAAATTTGTTTTAGATAGAGTGTAGAGTCTATGGCAGGACTTTTTTGACATGTTCATATTAGGGAGATTTTTACTTCCTAGGGAGTAATGGAAAATCTCCCCATCATGGACAAATACAAAAATACATTTTCCGATTGGGGAGGGTCAGAAACTCTGTTTTAATTGTTTTCTGTGCCTTCCTTTGCTGGTGACACTTACTCCAACCATTTTTTGTAAGGGTGTCACATATGTATGTTGCCTCAGACAGTGCTGGAGCATGCAGCATTACGCTTGTGGCATACAGTTGCTGCCTTAAAAGCTGTACTATGTAAGCAACTGTAAGTTTTCTTTATATTTTCCCTAGATTTATCTAACAAAAATAGGGTTCTTTCACATGGGCGACCCAATCTGATCCACGTGTCAGGCTTATAGGCGGATCTGATCAGAAGCTCAATATTAGTATATGGGTAGATGGATGTAAACAGACATGCATCTGTTTACACTGATTACCTTTTAAAAAAGGAAAAGGTCTGCATCCTATTCCATTTTTTTGGACCTAAAGGAGATGGATTAAAGGTAAAATAATGTACACAGATATGCCTGCCCATAGATTCAACATTGATCCATTTCCTACAGTCACAAACTGGAGGAATCAAAATATGAGGAAATATGGATGTCAAAAAGTGACATCTGTTTCATTTACTCTGCTGAAAGGGGGGGGGGGGTCTGTTCACAGGATTCCCTGCCAATCATAATGGAGGACAACAATTTGAGTGGATTATAAGGCCCTTTTTTCACAAACGGTCCGATCAGGTCCGTCTGTCAGTTTTTCAGACGGACCTGATCGGACCCTCTATTCAGCCTTATAGACTGGTGGGGGTAAACAAACCTGTGACCACCTACACCTTCCAACTTTCAATCTGATCCAGTCCACTGATCGAAGGTAGTTGGGTGTAAACAGACAAGCGCAGACCAGGTTCTGTCTGTGTCTACTCCGCAAAAACAGAGAGGAAATGGACCAGTTATCTGCCCGCTCTCCCCTACTGATCTATACAGAACCCGTCCCATGTGAAAGGGGCCTAAATCATAACAAGACTGTACCGTTTTGGAGCAGAAATGAAATGTCACGTTCTCTAGCAACTTCGGGGAAATCAAATGTAGCTCTACCATTAAAGCTACAAAATAAAACATGTAGAAACATTGATTTTCCTGTTATATATATTACATCTTTACATATAATGAAAATAAATATCAATTCTATACAACTGAGGGTACAAACAAGGGAAATGATGAAGGATCAGAAGAGGCAGTGTTCATTTGTTTTTCAATGTGGAAATGAGGAATTGTGGGAAGTTGGATACCCACAATTCCTGGAGGTGATGGGAAAATACATTTGCAGATAATGCCATTCATGACGCTTTGGGCTATGAATAACTCACTGCCGGTAATGGTAAGACTGAATCAATAGAAGCTTTCTCTAGCAGGGTCTATGGAAGCCTGATACACCAGGCCATAACAGGAGCTACACAAATATATTCATTAAAGGTTTGTTCCCACAAGATACTTTGTCAGGCATTTTGTTATATTTTTCCAACACAGACACAATGCAGGAACATGAGAAAATCCATTGTTTTCAGTAGAGCTTGTTCCCACCTGAGAGTTACAGTATACTAAAATAGAAAATCCTGTGTGTGCACTTTTGGTGCTACACTTTTCCATATAAGTCAGTCCTTCAAAATTGCAATGCCATTCATCTATAAAAGCAGGGCAATGCACATAAATGGGTGCATTTTCAGATGCATGGGGGAGCAATAAATATTTAAATAACGAGGTTTTGCTTACGGAGGGTCATACAAATCTATTTAATATTCAACATGACTAATTACATTTTATCTCCTGTTCCACTTTTCATGCGTGTCCTTATACCCATCCCCCAACGCTGTGCTTTACATTAACCATATCCATAGAAGTTCCTTCAGTGTACATCAAATGCAAATAATGCAATGTAATAAACATGAAATATTGTAATGGTATTCCGAAAGAGTGACACAGTTTAGGTTCTAAATAATAATGTCTTGATCTGTACACACTATGCAGCCTCAGATAAAATCTGCATGACGTTTTACAACACAAAGTGACAAGATGATAGATCTCCTTCATATTTTATCTTAATCCTTCGTGGTCATATTATATGTACACACACAATGATAAAACAGCTATGCATAATATTCTTGAAACTGGTAACAAATAAAAATGAACATTTACCAACAACTATTTGCTCCAGTAATGCAATTGTGTTGTCTTCCAACATATTCTAACATGGAAAGGGTTCTTTGAAACCCTGGGGTTCCTCCAGAGGTTGCTTGGGGTTCCATAAACTGTGGATGATTGACCTGCCATCAATATGGTGTCCGCTTCGTTTGGATTCCAACGCCACTTAGTGAGTGAGTATGATGACACCAATGATATTTTTTTATCTTTCTCTAAGGGTTACATTCTGACCACTATTGTGAGAGGGCATACTTCCCAATGGTCACCAATTCAAGGGGGGCATTCTTCCCGCTGGACACCAATGTAAGGGGCATTCTTGCTATTGTCCACCGATGTAAACACAGCATTCTGACCACTGATGTAAGGGGCAATATTTCCACTGGCCACTGATGTAAGGGGGCATTCTTTCCACTGACCACTAACGTAAGGGGCATTCTTCTCACTGACCACTAATGTAGGGGGGCATACTTCTCCCTGTCCACCAATGTAAGGGGCATTATTTTCACTGGCCACTAATATAGGCAGGTTTCTTCCCATTGTCTCCCAAAGTAAAGGGGGCATTCTAGAGAGTGAGCTTTTTGCCCATTCTTCTTTGCAATATAGCCCAAGCTCTGTCAGATTGTATGGAGATCATCTGAGAACAGCAATTTTCAAGTCTTGCCTCAGATTCTCAATTGGATTTAGGTCTGGACTTTGACTGGGCCATTCTAACACATGAATATGCTTTGATCTAAACCATTCCATTGTAGCTCTGGCTGTATGTTTAGGGCCGTTGTCCTGCTGGAAGGTGAACCTCCGCCCCAGTCTCAAGTCTCAGACTTTAACGGGTTATCTTCTAAGATTGCCCTGTATTTGGCTCCATTCATCTTCTCATCAACTCTGACCAGCTTCCCCGTCCCTGCTGAAGAAAAGCATCCCCACAACATGATGCTGCCACCACCATGTTTCACAGTGTGGATGGTGTGTTCAGGGTGAAGTGCAGTGTTTCTTTTTCAGCCACACATAGTGTAGCGAGATTCCAATCGCCCTGCTTTAAAAAAATTTTACAAATTTTCACACTCAATAGAGTGGCAGGATTACTTATAATAACAACACCCCATCCACTAACATTTATTTATTTCAGGTACTTATACAGCGCTGACAATTTTACGCA